GAGAGTTTTCAGTTATACGACTGCATATTTTAAAGACCAGTGTTTCCCAAACTTTTTTCAATCAACGGGATACAAAGTAAAATTAAATTACGACAAATTAACTTTCAAATATTCTACTGAATTCATCTTTCATAGAGCAAGTTAACCCTCAGGCATGAATGCAAAAAGAAGTTTCTTTTCATTTCTATTATAAATACCAATGATTAAAATACTTTCACATTATTCGGACTGTTGTCCTCGACTTTATTGTCAAATTAATGACGTTTCAGCCGTTGTACGCCCCGGCCTTCTTCAGGTGATTGGAATTTCGAACTGGACACTTTATTTCGCAGATTGTTCAAGTTTCACATGCCATGCATCTCCCGAGTGTCTCAGTTATCTCCCTGTAACCCAACTCTGCAAGTTTTTGTTCACCACTGCTGTAGCTCACAACTATTTGGTTCAAGTCACTGGATCCAACCAACGCTTTTAATCACTAGGCCACGCGTCCTCGAGGACACCAGTCCCTTGTTGGGATAATAAAGATGAGGAAAATAGAAATAATGTAAATAATTACAATAATTCATCTCAAAATTATAGACAGAGATTAAGATGCTGAAAAAGAATTAAATTGATAGCTTATCTCAATGTTTTCAATGCGATTGTTGACTTTGGTCCTTGCTGGCTAAGGCTTTTATTCTAGGTTCATTTGATAGCTTATCTCAATGTTTACAATGTGACGGTTAACTTTGGTGCTTACTGGCTAAGGCTCTTACTCTAGGTTCATTTGATAGCTTATCTCAATGTTTCCAATGTGATGGTTTTTACTCTGGGTTCCATACTGCTTAGAAGCAACCCTATAGCCTTGGTTGGTGACCAGTCTACCGCAGAAAGAAAAGGCAGCTTACAGCGGGAAAATCTTTAGGCTAGTCAGTCATGAATCCAAAGAAACATGATCGGCGATGATTGTATCGCGTATGGCACTGATTATTGAAAAGTGCCCCGACTCCTAAGACATTTAGTAAAGTGTAAATTTAATGAATGTATGTTAACTTCTAACACTAATGTCTTGTCCAGAATCATATGGCATGTCTTATTTCCTCTCAAAATAATGAGGGATAAAAAAAAGCACACAAAATAAACAAAAACAAAAATAAAAGCAAAACAAAACCAAAATGAAAAACAGGAACTACTTAAGTATACTGGTCCGCTGGTATGACACTGGGAAAATATTCTTGAAATATTTCTTTGTAGATTAGCAGATATCCATGAAGGCGAGATAAATCGAAAACAAAAAATAAATTGAAAATGGAAATTTGAAATTTGAATTTATCTTTTTCTATATGGGGTCCAATTCGATACAGTGTAAAATGAGTCCCAGAATTTTTTAAATTTAATTTTTTTTACATTGATTTACAAGGCCCAAGAGCCATTCGAGGTAGAGGGTTGTAGAGTAAGAGGCACAGTTTATGCGGATTGTGTGGAAGATAGCGCATAACCCTCGACATGTACAGGTTAAGATTGTAGTGATCGGGGAAGCAGTCACTTGGGAGTCAGTTACACAGAGCAGCGTTTAATTTTTTACACCAAGAAAACAACAAATTCAAACTACAGATCCTCGAAGCAATCTACATTAAAAAATTAACGCCGTCACTTAATAGAATCAACTACGAATACTGTAGTAATTTTTTGAAATGTCTATGAAAAGGGCAGTTTTATCCGTGAGTATGAACGGATTTTATTAAAAATAAGAGGACATAATGCCTGTAATTTATTTAATCAGACATGCCTAAAAGAGAATTTGGTACCTAATACACAAATATAATATATATATATATATATATATATATATATATATATATATATATATATAAGCATTTCACCTGAAGAAGCCACTAGGACGCAAGGGGTTACAGAAAATTTGGAGCAAGATCAGATAGGAGTGAGAGAGGAAAGGATGAGGAGAAGGGTAGTGGATAGATCAAGGCAACTGGAGATGTCGATTGACATTACATTTGAATAGTTGGAGATTATAGCTATTAGGGAAACTGGAATAGGGAAGGGAGTTCCACGGGCGAGACATGAAGCTATTGGAGTAGAAGAGACGGCTACATTTAGGAGTTTCGACAGTGAAGGGGTGAGAGCGGGATGTCAGCCTTGTAGTGCGCTTGAACTCATGAAGTCTGGGAACCAGTGAATGCAGCTCCTCGGAGCAATTGCCATGAAAATATTTGTAAAAAAGACAGAGACAGGCGCCGGCGCGTCTGTGAGAAAGTGTCTGTAGACGAGGTAGCCATTTCTTTCTGCGATAGTCCAGTTGCTATCCAAGGCTATAGAACCCGGTCTGTACTGCTATTTCTGTGAGAGAGCGACTGTAGACGAGATGCCAGAGCAGAGCCAATTATATTGCATATCCGCCTCTGGAGCTTATCATTATGAAATGGATTAATCCGACAATTATTTGAATATACTTTCCGCTTATACGTTATTTTTATAGATATAATTTATTTAAGTAAATGCTCTGTCTTTTTTTTTTAATTAAACAGTATTAACTACATATACCGGCCCGAAATTTCGCGTAAAAAATGTGCTTGTTCGACAGGAATCGAAGATGTAACCCTCAATGGGAAATTTTCTTCTTTCATTTTAATGGGAAATTTGATCTGATTTTTTCATCAGATTATTTGCTAACCAGACGATTCTTTTGGGCTGGGTGGCTAACAGCACATCAGATCAAATAAATTTACTCTTTGGTATTTCAAGATATTTTTGTGTCATTTTGGTAAATATATCTGTTATAATGAGATGGCAGTGTTATTTTCTTTTTTGCGTCATTTAGACGACAATTTATCTGTATATAAAAAGATTTTGGAACATTAGACATATTTAGCATTTATTTCTTTCAATTATTCCAGTATTTTTCTTCACTGTGTTACGATATTTGTATATCACGGATCTGCTACTGCCTAAATAAATGTAAGCGAGCACGATTAAGCATAATTGGTAAAATTGCCAAAGGGACAATTGGCTAAATTTCCAATAAGTGGAATTGACTAAATTCTAAATTAACTATAATAAGAAGAAAAGAAAAAAACGGACATGGCAAAATAATCCAAGACAAACAATAATATATATATATATATATATATATATATATATATATATATATATATATACAGGTTGTATCAAAAATAGTGTTACAAACTTTGGCGGCGGGTTCCTGCCACCAAAACAAGATGTCCATCTATATAATAAATGCGGATGTCAGTGTGCAACTGTGTTACGCTTTTTCAAATCAAGGGACATAACTCTTTAACTTTCAATGGCACAGAAATTTTGGATTCTCAAGTTTTCCTAACTGCAATTGTTTTCGGCGATTTTTTACATGATTTTTTTGCGACGAATTTTTTTGCCCGATAACAGTTTTTATAATTTGGAAATAAATTTGGGAATAATCAAAATTAATTGCGAAATCTAGCGAAAGTCATCCATGAAATAAAATTGTTTGTACGAAAAGTAAGGACCCACGTACATTAAATTGTCTATAAATTAAAATGACGGCAGAAGAATTATCGTTGAACTTTAAAAAGGTAAGCTTAAGTATTAATGCAATACTTAAATGCAGTGACCAATTTTGAGTTCTTCTGTAGTTTATCGTTGCCTATCGCATACGGCAGCAGTATGCCTCGCATAAAGAAATCTCCGCCAACAGAGGACCAGATTGCAATCAAAAGCTCCAAGGCTACAGCGTGGAAAAGAAAGTCCCGTGCATATGAAAACCCAGATCAAACAGCAACCAGGAGAGCTTCCAATGCTGAGAATATGTAAAGACTTAGGGACTCTCAAACTCCTGAACAAACTGAAAGCCCAATCAAGAGTCCTCCACAGGAGCTAGCTTAAATGCAGCCCAATAGAGCGGCTTTTAAGCTAGCTCCTTCTTCAAAAAGAATCACGTAATTAATGTAGAACTGAAACTAAAAAAGATAGAAAGAAGAGGGAGTTCTAGAAAAGAAAACTAATATATATATATATATAGTAGTTTTCTTATATATATATATATATATATATACGTAGTTTTCTATATATATATATATATAGTAGTTTTCTTATATATATATAAGTAGTTTTTTATATATATATATATATATATATATATATATATATATATATATATATATATATATCAGTAGTTTTCTTATATATATATATATATAAATTACAAACGACAAATTATAGAAACGAGGTGTCATGGGAAAGGTGAAGAAAAAGAGTTGACAAGAAAGAAATTCGTTTGATTTTTCTAAAGAAAGAAGAGAAGAAAAAAAAACAAGGAACATATAAGAAAGAAAGAAAAAAAAGAAAGAAAGAAAGAAAGAAAAAGGAAGAAGAAGAAAGAAAATGAAAAATGAGCGTATAAAAAGACACCTCGTTTCTAGAATTTGTCGTTTGGAATATATATATATATATATATATATATATATATATATATATATATATATATATAGAAGGAGTCAGAGAAAAGGAGACGACTACACACAGACACACACACACACACATATATATATATATATATATATATATATATATATATATATAGTTTTTTTTTCTAGTACTCCCTCTTTTTATCCTTTTTCTGTTTTAGTACTACATTAATTACGTGATTTTTTCTTCTTCTTCTTCTTCCATGTCTTATTTCTTTTTGTGTCTATTATTTCACTTCTTTTGAATATATATATATATATATATATATATATATATATATATATATATATATATATATATATATATATAAGATAAGGAGTATAAACTCGAAAGTAAAAAAAGAAAGAAGAAAACAATGAAAAGGCGAAGACGTCTTTAATTTCGCCAATTTTGTCGCAGTGTTCGGGAACAGGGGACATGCTCAGTAAGGGGATAGTTTTACTAATCTTTTAAGGATTGTTATCGTTTTTGTTTTTTCGCGTTGGAATTAAAGCAGAAATGAAAATAAATCAATATTAATTAAAGACACAAGGTGGAGAATGCCGTGAAAGGGAGTCCATCGCTTGTGACGCGAAAACTTGTCATATTAAGAGCCTCGAAAAATTAGCACGTCACAATAGAAAACGATCTCACGTTTCTGGCTTTATTTATGGCGATTTTGTTAAGGCGTCTTCTTATTTGATTTTTTTAGGGATAAGGTTTCTTTTTTTGCTCGTCTACGATGGGTTCTTTCATCCTACTTTCATTTAACCGTCTTTCTTTCTTCCTTTTTTTTCTACGTTTCTTTCTTCCTTATATATTCATTATTTTTCTTTCTTCGCTCTTTCTTGCTTATTTGCTCTTTCTTTTCTTTTCTTTCCTTTCATTCTTTCTTTTTTTCTTATATGTTCATTATTTTTATTTCTTTTCTTTTTTCTTTTCTTTCCTCCTTGTTTTCTTTCTTATATGCTCATTTTTTCTTTCTTTTTTCCTTTATTTTCTTTTCTTTCTTTCTTTCTTTCTTTCTTTCTTTCTTTCTTACATGTTCATTATTTTTTATTTCTTCTTTCTTTCTTTCTTTCTTTCTCATATGTTCTTTATTTTCTACTCTTATTTCTTTATTGCTTGCTTATATGTTCTTTCTTTTCTTTCTTTCTTATATGTTCGTTTTTTTTGTTTCTTTTCGTTTTTTGCTTCTTTTCTTTTCTTTTCTTTCTTTTCTTTCTTTCTTTCTTTCTATCTTATATGTTCATTATTTTTATTTTTTCACTTCTTTCTTTCTTTTTTGCTCATATGTTCTTTATTTTTTCTTTCTTTTTTCTTATATATTCTTCCTTATATATTCTTTCTTTTCTTTTCTTTCATTTTTTCTTTTTTATATGCTCACTTTTCTCTTCGCTTCTTCCTTTCTTTCCTTCTTCCTTTCTTTCTTTCTTTCTTTCTTTCTTTCTTTCTTTCTTTCTTTCTTTCTTTCGTATAGCTTTTTTTTTTCTTTTCTTCTTTCTTTCTTGCTTTTTTTCTTCTCTTCTTTCTTTAGAAAAATCAAACGAATTTCTTTCTTGTCAACTCTTTCCTCTTTCTCCACCTTTCCCATGACACCTCGTTTCTAGAATTTGTCGTTTGGAATTTTTCTTCTTTTCTTTTTTTTTCTTTTTTTTTTCTAGGGTGGCGGATACTGGTCTACTAGTGGGAGAGGGAACAGCTCTTGCAAAAGGGTGCGCGCCAGGAAGACTGAATATTTTTTCGACAGTTTTTTTTATATTTTTTATTTTTTTTTTATTTTGACTGTTCAAGTTGTTTTTGTTTTTTTTTTGCCTTTTGCTTTTCTTTTTCCATTTCTGGCTTTTTTCTTATCTTGGAGAAACTGACAAATTTGACAGTTTTATAGGATTTTTTCTTTTGCTTCTAAAAAAGCGTTGTGTTGTCTTGTTTTTAGCGTGATGGTGGCTAATGAGAGACGTGAAGGCGTTTACGGACAGACAGGAATGTCTACGCAAATCGACAAACATGTAGATACAGGCACACAACTAACACTCATGTATACGTATGTTCACACACACACACACACACGCACATACATACATACATACATAAATACATACATACATACATTTATATATGTATATGAAGACAATGAAACAAAGTGGAAAATGTTATTAAAGACGCGTTTCGCTAGTGAAGCGGATGTTCTGGCTTCCTCAGTTTAAAATAAAACGACAAAACTGTGTGTGGGAAAGATGTCTTGGGATCTCTGAGGATAAGTGGGTATCATAAATCAAATTAATTACCCTAGCTTCAGTCTGTTATGTGTCATGCGTGATACACGCTTAGGCGATCATGTATCTTTCGATACATGACTGACAAGGCAGTTTTTTTTTTCTCGTAGTAGTTTGTCATTTCTTTCTGCGGTAGACCAGTTGACATCCAAGGCTATAGAACCCGGCCTGTCCTGCTATTTACCCTTGGGGAAGAAGAAGAGGATTCATACCTTTCCCAATGGTATTAGTATGTAAGCGAATATCAGTCTGTTAAGTACAATGCGTGATACACGCGTAGGCGATCATGTATCTTTCGATACATGACTGACAAGGCAGGGTTTTTCCCGCAGTAGGTTGCTATTTCTTCCTGCGGTAGACCAGTTACCATCCAAGGCTACAGAACCCTGTCTACTCTGCTATTTACCCAAAGCTGGGAGGAGAAAAAGAGGATTTATACCTTTCCCATGGATATTATCATGTAAGTGAATATCAGTCAGTTATGTGGCATGCGTGATACACGCTTAGGCGATCATGTTTCTTTCAATATTATGACCGTCGAGGCAGGTTTTTCCCGCAGTAGGTTTCCATTTCTTTCTGCGGTAGACCAGTTACCATCAAAGGCTATAGAACCTGGTCTTTCCTGATATTTACCCATAGTTGGGGGGAGAAGCAGAGGATTCTTACCTTTACCAAGAGTATTAGCATGTAAGTGAATGTAATGGATTCGACTGGAATTCGAACTCGGCTCTCTGATTCCTAGCTGATGACCTCCTAATTTCCGACCCGCTGAGTGTCTGTCCCCCTGTGTAGTTGTTTGTTTTATCTGTATCCCTTATTTTAGCCGTTGTAGGTTTCTAAATCAGGGATTCCCCTCCTACACCCCACCCACAGTTTTATCTTGCTTTCATTTTAAACTTATCTCTAAACCACGTCACTAAAGATTTTCCAATTCATCATGTTTTTCTAAATGCACATACTAACAAACACACACACACAAATTACACAAGAACGGTGATAGGTTTAAAAAGTGATCGAGATAGCTATTAGGGTTGATGTGATTAAATATACTTTATAAAAAAAAAAAAAAAAAAATTATTCAGTATTATTATTGTTGAGGTAAGAGGTCGGCAACATACGACACGCCTGCCATACGTGACACGCCAAGCAATTTCCAATGGCACGCAGCCTCAAATGACATCACGAAGTCCGAACCAATAGCTACTACAACGGAAAGAAGATATTTAGCTGTTTCAATTTTAATATATACTAAAGTAGTTAAACCTAGTGAGCCAGACAAAATTTAAAATCATTCAGTGTGCCAACAGTATACGTATTTTTATACAAGTCAAGGCCAATATACCTGTTCTACAATATATTTTATATAGTAATATATAGTATATATACTTTAGTATATATTATTAGTAGTAATCTTATAAGAAATTATACTCGTTCGGAAAACCTTCAGTTTTTTGATTTGCAAATAATCAAACCAATACCAAAGGGGAAAAATTGTATAAAAAAAGAAAGAACAAAGAACATGTACGTTAGCCGAAAATAATCGTCTGGCATGCAAGTCCAAAGTCCAAAGAAAAAAAAAACCGATACGAGTAGGCAAAATAACTAAATAAAGTGCTCGATACAGTGAGTAAAGCAGACCTAGTTAAAAGCCCGACCTTCCCTGACAATCCGCTTAGGTGAAACCTTGGTAGGTTTGTCTGGCTCTTTAGGTTTAACTATGTCCTGAAGAAGGTATACTAGACCGAAACGTCTGACGTCGACATTGAAACAACATTAAAACAGCATACTTGCATATTCGGATTTTTGTTTTTCCATATTTTTCTTCACACACACACACACACACACACACACACACACACACACACACACACATATATATATATATATATATGGATAGGTGTATAGGTACCTCCAAAGAAACACAATATCTAAGGTCTAAAATGATATATTTAAATGAAAAATATTTTTTGAGGCTTCTATTTTAGTTTTGATTTCAAATTAATAAATTAAATTTAATATTTCCGATAAGCAAAATACTTTGCTGTATTTCAAAACTAATTTAAATTGACTGTATTTTTTTTTAATTCGATAAAAATCGATGATTTTAGCCTTTTTTACAGCCGCCTGACAATAAAATGTAATATTCTTTATTAAAAAAAATCTTTCAAAAATAAAATATACTTTTCTGAAATTTTATTTAAGGAATATAAGCTGATTTAAAGTTTAATTAATCTGATTTTGAAAAAAATAAAATACTTTTCGTTTAAAATATCGCAGAAATGCATTTTTTTAATTACAGAATTGTTTTTTATTTGGTGTTGACAGCTCTATTGATATATATATATATATATATATATATATATATATATATATATATATATATATATTTTAGCGTTTCACCCCCAAGCAAGGCGGGAAGCCACTAGGACGCAAGGGGTTACAGAAAATTTGGAGCGAGATCAGATAGGAGTGATAGAAGAAAGGATGAGGAGAAAGATAGTGGATAGATCAAGGCAACTGGAGATGTCGATTGACATTACATTTGAATAGTTGGAGATTATAGCTCTCAGGGAAAATGGAATAGGAAAGGGAGTTCCACGGGCGAGAGGTGCGAGACATGAAACTATTGGAGTAGAAGAGACGGCTACATTTAGGAGTTTCGACAGTGAAAGGGTGAGAGCGGGATGCCAGCCTCGTCGGGCGCTTGAACTCATGAAGTCTGGGAACCAGCGAATGCAGCTCCTCGGAGGAATTACCATGAAAGTATTTGTAAAAAAGACAGGGAGAGGCGACGGCGCGTCTGTGTGAGAGCGACTGTAGACGAGATGCCAGAACAGGGCTAATTATATTGCATATCTACCTCTGGAGCTTATCAAGAACCCCGAGGGAAACAGAAGGGGCTCCAGACGATATATGGCAGCAATACTCCATGTAAGGGTGAATTGTTGATTTGTAGATCTGAAGGATTGATTCCGGGGAGAAAAATATATCTATAATTAAAAGTTACACAATACAAGACTCAAAAGCCTCTCATGGTAGAGTTACTAAGTGAGGTTGTTGTATGGACGTAAGTGACGATTATAAGGATATATAAGATAGATAACCGTTCACTATTGTAGTGATCAGTCTGAACCTTCTGCGGTCAACCGTTATCTATTCTGGATATCCTCCTAGCTTGCACTTACTTCCTCCTCTTGCCCTGATCATGTGATCCGGGTCCGATTTTTCAAGGAGAGGCAACTTCTTGATATTATCGGCCCGGTGGGGGCGAACCCAGTGTGTGTTGGCGTTGAAAAGAATCTAAAAACCATACCACGGCTAGAATTGTGAGTGGAACGGAGCAGACGAAACTGCCCAAAGGCCGTGCGAACACAAATGTGCAAGCCCTCGTGACCGAAGATCTAAGCGTGCTGGCCTCGTTCAGACTGTTGAACATGCTAGATCAAGCGCTCTTTCCCAGCAAGTGGAACTAAGGTCCGCTCACAGGTGGGGCCCAGAGGGATGTTGATCAAACACATGCGTGCCTCAACGGGTGTCTGGTGGGTTAACCCACCACCTCGCGGAGGGGTCTACTCAGTTTATTTATACACAGGGCGACCATCAAGTCTGGGTACATGGATTTGGACGAAAATGACCTTATCACAGCAGACTGTATTGTTCAACGACGAACCGTTGTTTTGCGTGAAAGGTGAGGTTGACCGACAGAATGTTCGGTCTTCTTTTACTATGTTCCGCGTCTCTTCAGCGCATAGGCGATCATGGCTCTCCACAATTTCCTATTCCTACCGTTAGCAGTTTTTCCCACTTTGCTGAGGCTCCTAATCCTCATTCCGCCATCAATTCACATAAGCTCGTCAGGTAAGTGGCTCGCTACCTTCCTCAATCTCTCTTGCTCTCAATAGGCCCTGTGAGTGCTAAGCTTTCCAAACTCCCCTTCCTCATTATGCGTCCAAAGAAATTCAGCTGGCTTTTGTTGTCGTTTTCTTGAAGACTGCCTTTGTTGCTTATTCTCTCTGTCCATGGAATTCTCAGCTTCCTTCTGTATAACCACGTTTCTGCCGCCTCTAGTTTTCTCTGCATGTCGGGAGATTCTCCAGTATTCATTACTATATAAGAGGATGGGTAACACATAGCAATTCAGCACACATTTCTTTGTATCCTTCTGTAGAACCACGTTTTTCAATGTAACGAGAACAGTTATGTGCCATGCGTGATACAGGCTTAGGCGATCATGTATCTTTCGATACATGACTGACGAGGCAGATTTTTTTGCCACAGTAGGTTGCCATTTCTTTCTTCAGTAGACCAGTTGCCATTTCTTTCTTCAGTAGACCAGTTGCCATCCAAGGCTATAGAACCAGGTCTGTCCTGCTATTTACTCATAGCTGGGGTGAGAGGAAGAGGATTCATACCTTTCCCAAAAGTATCAGCACGTAAGTGAATGTAATGGATTCGAATGGAATTCGAACTCGGTTCTCTGATTCCTCAAACCGAGCCGTTATCCATTACTCCACCGAGAACATGACACAAATGATAAAAAAAAATCGCAACAGGAAAACTATCAACAGACCACCCGAACAAATTAAACCCACGTGTAATTGTAGAATAAAGAATGAATGTCCCTTAAAAGGTAATTGCTTACAAAACAATGTAATATACGAAACCATGGTAAAATCATCAGATAACGAAGAAAAAATATACATAGGAGTAACTGAAGGACTCTGAAAACAAGAAATTACGCACACAAAACAATTTTCACAAATAATAAATACACGAATATCACAATACTTTCCAAGTATATCTAGCAAATTAAAAGCAACAAGCAAATCAAACCAAAAATATCATGGGAAATAAAGAAAAGAACATCAGCCTACAACAATCAACCCCAAAACTGCAAACTCTGCTTGGAGGAAAAATAGCTATAATTACCTTCTCAGATCAAAACAAACTACTAAATAAACAATCAGAACTAATCTAAAAATACAGACACGAAAACAAATTTTACTACGTTAAAAATCGAAAACTTAAAAAAAAGAAATAAGCAAAAAGAAGTAAAATAAATAAGTCCGAATAAATAAATAAAGTAAATAATAAACAAATTAACAAAGCACTCCCGCCAAAATAACGCTTAGAATAGACTACCGACAATGCAATAGACTACTCACAATGCACCACTGACCCTTATATATATAATAGTCTAGAAAAACACAACGTATATGGACTAATGATTTCGCTTAGCAGGAAACAGTCTGTCGCTTCTGAGTGTTGACTCCAATGTTCACTTTTATATTTACATACGCTCTATTTCTGATATTGAGCCTTTTATCCCATAAATATAACATACCTAAAATATATGTGTGTGTGTGTGTGTGTGTGTGTGTGTGTGTGTGTGTGTGTGTAAGTAATTTTGAATTGTTTAATATATATATATACATTAAAAAATTCAACATTACTTCTTATGATTATAATCAAACCGTATAATAATTATCAATGTGTATCTATTTATTTCCCGTACAATTTGTAGTGGAAAGGGAGGTAAATCAAGTTAAGATTTTGAATTTATGAGTGATTACTTCCCTTAGTCGTTTTAATAATTTGTACCAATAAAATGTTTATCTGCATTTAGACAAAATTACTTCTCGAGCAAAATATACCGTTTAATTAATCAGTTCCTTATTCCCACGTTTTTTAGATTGCAGTCATATTTATTTAAGCCTTTCATGTGAGGCACTCAGATACCTTATTAAGTGATCGGCTTGCTTCATATTGGTCTTGAAATAGGCTTTGTCGTTGTTGTCTTTGTCGTTCTGTTACAAATCTCTTTCTTCCGAGATTAACGTTTCGTTTCCCTGCTACATTTAACGCATATGATTTTTTAACATGAAAAGATATTGAGAAAAAAAGCAATTTATGTAATAAATATGATATGAGCGTCTTTTGTTTTGTCTTCCGTATGGGAACCAATGTATTGAACATTGCAAACTGGACCCTCTATAATGTTCATATTATTTAATAAAGGGTATTATTTGAATATTCGTGATCAGGAGTGTTTAATCCGAGGTAAAAATTCTGGTGGCGGGGTGATTATTTGTGGTCATAGTGCCATCAAAATAAAATGAAGAATGAATAGACGTTTCAAAAATTTCTCAACTTATTTCCGTTTCATCCCTACATCTTCATCAGTTTTTTTTTTCTTTTTACACCTGAATGAAACTGACACAGAAATCCGCTCTTCTTTACCAGATATGTACATTCGCCTGAACGGTCGAACAGGTGTGGCGATTTCGCCAAAAACGGCAGAGTTGAAAAATGAAAGGAAAAGTGTGTGAGGTGGTGGGGAGGGGATTGCAAGGAGGACGGAAAGAGGATAACAATGAGATTCAAAGTGCAGTGAACCATGACTGGAGTCGAAGAAAAGAAAAAAAGAAGAAAAAAAGATGACGACGATGACGACGAAGAACAACAGCAACAAGACTTAGACATAGATTCAGAAGAAGATTGAAAATTATGACGACGACTAAAAAGAAGAGTAGGACTGGGGGCGGAGAACGTAGGGTCTGAAGAAGACTCAGAAAAAGAAGAGGAAGACTCTGAAGGCACTATAGACTCAGAAGAAGAAGAAGAAGAAGCCCAACAGCAAGAAGAGTAATATGAGGGAGTGTGTAAAGAAAAGGATGAAAAAGAGGATGTATAAGACTCTATAGACACAGAACAAGAAGAAGAAGAAGAAGAAGAAAATAAAGAAAAAAGAGACGACTCCGAAGAAGATAAAGAAGACGAAAACGACCCCGAAGAAGAAGTATTAGTAGTATTAGTAGTAGTAGTAGTAGTAGTAGAAGAAGAAGAAGAAGAAGAAGAAGGAGATGAATCCGAAGAAGAAGAAGAAGGAGACGAATCTGAAGAAGAAGAAGAAGAAGAAGAAAAAAAAGAAGAAGAAAATAAAGAAGGAGACAACTCCGAAGAAGAAGATAAAAAAATAAGAAGATAAAGAAGAAAACGACTCCAAAGAAGATAAAGAAGAAGAAGAAGTAGAAGAAGAAGAAAATAAAGGAGACAACTCCGAAGAAGATAAAAAAGAAGTAGAAGAAGATAATGAAGAAGCAAACGACTCCAAAAAAGAAGAAGAAGGAGACGAATCCGAATCCGGAAGAAGAAGAAGAAGAAGAAGAAGAAGAAGAAGAAAGGAAAATGTAAAAAAAAAAAAAAATATCCGTGTGGACGCATCATTGCATCCACACGCTTCTTCCTGCTTCTGTTTTCCGTGTCTCATCAAAGAAGTTTCGGTTACGCATATATTATGGAGACAAAATGTGATGCCACAGTTCCCATCTGAGGCAGAGTCATTAACTCTCATCCATTTCCCAGTATGAAGGAACTCTTTGCACAGCGCCATTGAAGTTTAGTTCCCAGAATTTGGCCTGTTAGATTCTACCATTGACCACATCCAGTATCCTGCTGCTAAATGTCAACACCGTAAGCCAGACAGGGGTGGCTACCGGGTACTATGCAGGGCCAAAGGGTAACTCATGATTTGGTCGTTACTGTTTTGAATTCAAGATTGTCCTTCTCCTAGACCGGTTACCAGCCAAGGCTTGGGAGTCCAGGCTGCCCTGCTATTTAGTACATAGCTGGAGGGTGGGATGGGGGTTTGCTTTCACTGATTCATACCTTTCCCCAGGGAATTTGCGCATAAGTGAATTTAACGAATTTAACCCTCACGTTTCTAAACTCTGCTCTCAGGTCTCTCATATCGTGTCGCTATACATTAAACCACCCGCACATTTTCTTTTTTGCATCCCCATATATATATATATATATATATATATAAAGATCAAACAGAAGTGATTGGGAAATACTGTAATTCCCCATGTATAATACGCCTTCATCCATAATACGCACAACTAAAATTGTGCTGAAAGTATGGAAAAATTCTTCCACATGCATAATACGCACCCCTTGTTTGGTAATCAAACCCTATAAATTGTATCTCTCAAATTTCATTACGGCTAGCGATTCCTACTCTTCAGTATCTGGTGGGAGTTCAATTCCCAGTTAAGGCAGTGGAGAACTTGGAGAGGTGAATTAACAGGAGATAACTGCTAACTGACCTCCATTAGACATGGCACGTGGAATTAGAACAGTCTGCCGCAGTGAGCGAAATAAAGGGTTCAATTCGACATTCTAACCACCTGAAGAAGGCCGGAGTGTACAACGGCCGAAACATTGTAATAAATATGGTGACAAAAATGAGGACAAGAGTCCGAATAATTCCTATTCTTATTTTTTAAAATGGTTTTAAACATAGAATAATATTATTCAAATTTAGTTTTACGATAATTCTTATTTTATTTTAGATTTGTAAGTATTGTTAGGTACATGTGCTTGTATTTGACATCCTTATGGGGTCGCAATCACCGAATGTCAGTGTCAAATTGTCATATGTTTGCGGTGAGTAGTAACTTTACAACTGAAATCGACCTATGAAACTGCAATTTTTTAAAAGATTTTTTGTACCTGTGCATAATACGCACCCCTGATTTTGCTTATTATTTTTTTGTTTTTAAAAAAGAATGCGTATTATACATGGGGAATTACGATAATTAATGTGTTGGAAAGCCGAACAAATGAAGAATTTGAAAAAAGAAATAGAAGAAAGAAACAAAAGAAAGAAAGCATGAAAAAAAAGAAAAGAAAAATGTTCAGATAGGTTCGTTAAATTTAATGACATAACGATCCTTACACCATTTACATTATTCAGACTATTTTCCTCATCTTTGTCGCCATATTCATTACAACGTTTCGGCCGTTGTACGCTCCGGCCTTCATCAGGTGGTTGGAATGTCGATATTCCAACCACCTGATGAAAATAGTGTACATAATACCTCATTTCAGAAATATAGACAGATATTGATCCTTGTTGGGTCACCCAGCATCGAATGTAAGTTTTATAAAGCAACAATTCCCAGTTTACAATTGATTAAAAAAATCATAGATATAGATTTGGTTTTGAAGTGAAAATGGAAGACATAGGTGAGGTTTACACTTGAGTCTAAAAGGTAGGTATTGTGGGGTTCGCCCCTTGTACACAAGATGGACTCGTCCAAAGTATACTTATACTACGGAGAGATAGCGTGAGAAAAACGTCGAGACAGTGTGTTCACTCAGAGAGAGTCCAGAAAGAGAGATAATTACGGCTTCACTTCCAGAAACTTGTACATATACTTTTCTACTAACCCGCATTCCTGGACTACTAATTTTCATTTCAAGTTTGTATTCTTACGTTTAATACACATATTTTTCTCTTTTAATTACTGGCGTTGTTTATTTATTTGTGCAGGATTCCATCCCCGGAATCCATAACAGTAGGCATGTCAGGTTTATAGTAAAGCCAATGAGTTAGGCATAATTTTAGCTTCCACCTGAATAAAAATGGTAGACAGAGGTCTGGTTTACTCTAGAGTCAAAAAGTTAGACAATGGTATGCTTTATACTAGAGTCAACGAAATAGACATCTGTCTAGTTTACACGGGAGTCAAAAAGGTCGTCACATAGGCCCGGTTTGCACCCGTGTCAACAAAAAGGTAAATATTAGTCTGGTTTACACAAGTCTGAAAATATCGTGCCGGAAGGTGGTCCCATTTGTGGCGTCTTACCCTTCTGCAGAAAAATCTTATTACTATATAAAAATCTGCGAACTTTGTACCTTGTGTGTTTGCCAGAAGTCATATATAGAGAGTTGGAAAAAGAAAGATGTAAATTTATTATCGTGTAGGAAGTGGGGAGGGGGAGCCAATTTTCTTACGAGAAAGTGTATAAAACACGAAACCCGGCCCCCAAAAGGATACGCACAGCTGTCATCAAGGTCCACGCCACTCTCGCTTGTGAACTTTACGACCTCATGCTAAAAGCTACAGCGCTGACAAACTTCAAAGAGACCGCTTCAGATTACGGCAACATTGTCCATAGTAAGAAACAAATTCTATCTCTTGTATCCTTTTTACTATGAATCACGAACACACATGTTGATTTTTTTCACACAAACCCACATATAACAACATTTCATTGTTTCTTACATACGTACTCAAAGATAATTTATTCCAGAATTTTATTAACCCTAGAACACTAACCATCAATTAAAGTTACACCATTACTAACCACGGGTATATCATACCCGATTTTGAAAATATAAAAAAAAAATATAAATATATATATATATTAAATATAAATCTTTATTTGAAATATTTTACATGCAGGCACTTCAAACTTTGTACTTTGAGTTAACATTAATAGGAACTGAAAAACATTATTTAGGTAAGAAAATCAGGTACTGAAAATTGTAATTAAAAATAGGAAAATTTGAGCTGGGTATATTATACCCATGGTTATTGTTCTAGGGTTAACCCAAGCAAAAAGACATTTCTTTCCAATCTATGACCAATTGATTGTATTCTTGTCGTTATATTAATATTCATTTGTTGAAACTATGTTGTCTTTTCTACTGAATTTTATTCTTTCAATGAAAATCGTTTGATTATTCTAAAAACGGCCGAATTACGCGCGGCTCCGTAACAATATTTTTCTGTTATTGTATCGAATCCCGACACTTCGAATTTTGACATTCGAACTTCTTATTGTTCAACTTTCTTCAAACAGATATTTTTTTTAATGTTGAAAGCAACTTCAATAACTTCAATTAAATGTATTTTTAAAATATCTCAACTTTCACAAACTCTTCATGAAACTAAATGTAAACAATAAAACACAACAAGGTTGACCCAACGGGTTACAGGTGGTCTAGTGTATTCCAAAGCCCGTCAATGGAAAAAAAAAAAGAGACAAAAAGCTGATATTGAGGATGGTTATAGAATGAAAAGAAGATAGGGAAAATAAAAAGGAAAGATAAAATTAAAAAAAAGAAAGAAAAAAACTGATAAACGAATGACTGAATGAAATAATGAAAAAGTAAAACAAAAAAAAAAAGAAGGAAAAATAGAACGAAAAGGCAGAAGAGAAAGAGAATGTCTTCATGACGAGCGCATCATTTTAAGTAACAAAGCAATTATTGCCGCCGACAGAAGGCGAACAGATTTTGAATGTAAACAGACCGTTTTGAAACTGACAGGGTCACGAACAATCTGGCGTCTTGTTAAGGTCAGCCTGTCATGTGACCATCATTGAATCAGGATCACAGGGAACCGACTTGTGTGACTCGAGGCAAAGTCTGCTTCGCACGAGCTGCTATTGAATGCGATGCAAACGAAAAGAAAAGCAACCATGCAATATAGGTTAAGAAAGAAAGAAAAAACCAGGCAAGAAATCGTGAAAGAAAGAAAAGAGGAAAGAAAGAGCGTAAAAAAAGAAACAATGAATATTAAGAAAGAAAGAAAAACAAGAAATTGCGAAAAGAAAGAAAAAAGAAAGAAAGAGCGTAAACAAGGAAATAATGAATATTAAGAAAGAAAGAAAGAAAACAAGAAATTGTGAAAGAAACAAAAGAAAAAAAAGAGCGTAAAAAAAGAAACAATGAATATTAAGAAAGAAAGTAAAAACAAGAAATCGTGAAGTAAAGAAAAAAGGAAAAGAAAGAAGCATAAAATGAGTCCGAATTCCCGTCCAATCTGTTGCCTTCAATTTCATAAAACCTTCCTAAAACACGATTTCTTCAAAACCCCAACCCCTACCCCAATCCACCACTTCCAACTCTGGCTTAAATATCCCGGTAGACTTTAGCCTTGGCTAGCAGCCAGTCTAATAGAAAGAAACCTCTGAAGTCCAAATCGTGAAGAGTGCACTGAGAAAACGCTTCATTATATTTCCCGAGAATTTATGTCATTTCATCGATAATAAAGAAAAGGGATTTGTGGAGGGTCATGATCAACTCCCGTCCTGAAGACAGATAGAATTAAAAAAAAAAAATACCAGTGCTGTCTGGCATAGTCATGCCGGTGGGGATTTTTTCAACTTATAATTTTTTTTATCTGCAGACCTTATAGTCTTAAGGTATCAGTATTCTTTAGAAGTAGTGTTTTATAATCGTATTCGTAGACGTAATAGCCTTAAACTGCGTTTCTTTAAAGAGAGTCTTTGTACACTATTTACATTATTCGGACTATTGTCCTCATCTTTGTCGCTATGTTTATCGCAAAGTTTCGGCCATTGTACGCTCCGGCTTTCTTCAGGTGTTTGGAATGTTGAACTGAACCCTTTATTTCGCTCACTGGGGT